TCCATCTAAAATAACAAAATTATATATTAATTAATATTTTCTTCTTCTTTCTTCTTCAAAGAATAATTATTTTTAATGTCTTCGTAAACTAGATTTTTACTAAATGCTTGGTGAATACTTGTGCTTTAAACTTTTTATTTCAAGAAGAACTTTTGTTTGTATTGGTAATTGGGAATATTGATACGATGATTGGAGAAAAGAAAGAGGAAAAGAAAGAAAACCGTGTGAAGAATGTATTTTATACGATTAATTTATATTTATTTAATTAGGACCACCACCACCACGACCACGACCATAACTTCTAATAAATTCTGGTTGGAAATCATTAGATGCACCCTCCTTCTTTCCACCATCACCACCATCATCATCACGACGACGATAATCACGATCACCACCGCGATTTTGTGGTGGACGATATGCACCATCTCTGCCGCCTCCTTCAGTTTCTATAAAATGTTTTTGGGGTTTATGTGGATAAGTATATGTGAATAAGTAAATGTGAATATGTATATATGTGTGCATATATATATAGATATATATATACACCACGCACACCCCAACCCTCAATTACTAAATAATACCTCGAGTTCTGTTAGCTTGTCTAGTTTGTTTTTTGAAAGTAGCAGGAACAATTTCCGAAGGCAAGTGTAAATATTCTCTTAAAAATTCGATACCTTCATCAGTCAACGAGTAATAATAATATTGCCATGAGAATTGTGTTTTCACATATCCTTTCGAGTTAAGACTTTGACATGCTTTTATAACTTGTAGATTTGGTACATCTATATCTTGATGTTTGGGTGCATTGAAGTCCTTTTTTGCTACCAAGACTCCCTCTGAGTAAAATTTTGATGATTAGGTTTTTGATTGGAAAGAGAACAATTGATTAATTTTGAATTGGTTGATTGTTTGATAAATTAGTTTGTTTACCTTTAAAAAGACTTTCGTAGATAAGTTTACGATTTTGCTTTGGAATGAGCATCTTTTTCTTTTCAAATGACTTTCAATACTTTGATTAAAAAAATGGACGATAAAAAAATTTTATTTTATTTAATTGACCAATCGAATTTTTTGTTCTACAACAATAAATCTTAAAAAAAAAATTATTTTTGATTATCTACAAAAAATACGATATTTTAAAACCTCACCGATATTGAAATGGGAACAGTCGTAAATGCAGGCTCATGGACTTCCTTGGCACCTAAATTGAGTCCTTTTATGTATATATACGCAGATATATATGTATATTATTGATATTTAAAAATTTTCAACAAATTATTTGAATTTATTTTATTACAAACATAATATTAATTGATTCAGTTTTATCTTCCGATATGTTAGTTTAGAAACATTGGCCACAATCGGCTTTTTAGAAATGACTCCTGTACAAGCTAGCACAATTCCATTATTTATGAAGAGTAAA